CACACACACACACACACACACACACACACACACACACACACACACTGTCTCAGATGGAAACTATCTGACTGACTTCAATCACTCAGCCACCTGGCACACACTCTGTGTGTTAAGGAAATAAAAGCACCATCCTAATATAGCTGCACACACACACACACACACACACACACACACACACACACACACACACACTCAGCCGCGGGCAGCAGACTGACAGGTTGTCCGAGGATCAGTTAACGAGAGGCTGGATGTCCAAACGCTGCAGCAAGGCATGCTGGGAGATCCACTCAGAGCCAAGGAGGGAGGCTCAGCTGAGACATTCCTGAGTGAGACGGAAACCCTAAAACTGAGACGGGTCAGGCCATGGGGGGGATCCTCAGTGCAAAATGCCCATAAGCTCCGCCCCTTCAGGGCAGATGGGAAAAAAAAAGTAAAATTGCAGGTTCTGGTCCAAAACCAAGACCAAAACCACACCTGAGACCAGACCTGACACTCTGCCACCTGCTGGCCAGAACAGGTAGACCAGGACCTGCTCATAGAAACCTGAACCTGTTAGGTGGTTTCAGAGGTCCAGGACCTTGTCCACTGCCCGGACTCGTACAGAACCAGGACCCTGTATACAACACAGACAAGAGTGTAGAACCAGAACATGGAGTAACCTGGAACTGTTCCTGATGGATCAGAACTGATCCATCAGTACGACGTTCTTTCTGAAGCTCTACATCACTTTACCATTTATCTTTTTTCTTTCATTTATTCTTCTCAATTTATTTCTTTTCTTTTCTGATTGTCCACCGTTGCCATCACTTTCTGTTAAAACAGGTCTCTCTTGTCAATGAGTCCCAGAGGCTCAATGGGACTAACCTGTAGAAATAAAGGTTGAATGAAGCACTGGTACCATCTCAGGACGAACTCTTAGCTGGCCTGGATCACAGAATCGCTTTGATCTGGGCTGGAGGCGGAGCTACCGACACCAACAGCCAATCTCAGTTCAGTTTATTTCTAAAGCTCCAAGTCACAACAGAATCGTCTCAGGGTGAACAGAAACATTCATCTATAAAATAATAATAAAAAAAAAAAACATTCATCTATAAAATAATAATTAAAAAAAAAACATTCATCTATAAAATAATAATTGAACAGAAACATTCATGTATAAAATAATAATTGAACATTATTTATCTGAGGAGCAGCTTTGAGTTTAACTCCATCACTGAACTCTCATCTTGAACAAGCATGAAGGCGACAGTGGAAAGAAAAACTCCCTCATGAGGAAGAAACCTTTAGCAGAACCAGGATCAGGACAAGAGGACCATCTGCTTCCACCGGCTGGGTTTGGTAGGAATAGATACACAATGGCAGGTCAAGAATCACATGTTAAGATAGAAATAGTATCAAATGAAAACTATTCAGTTTTAACAATTCATTTAAGGACATGAGGTCAGTTTGTCCTCTAGTAGTCTAAGTCTATAGCAGCATAACAAGCCGACCCTAACTATAGGATTTATCAAAAAGGAAAGTCTTAATCCCAGTCTTCAAACTGGACAATGTGTCAGCCTCATGGACAGAAACTGGAAGTTGATTCCACAAGAGAGGAGCCTGAGAACTGAAAGATCTTCCTCCCATTCTGTTTTTGTAAACTCTAGGAACCACAAGTAAACCTGCAGTCTGAGAGCGAAGGGCTCTGTTAGGAAAATATGGAACAATAAGATCTGTATTATAAGATGGAGCTAGGTTGTTGAGAGCTTTGTAGGTTAGAAGTAAGATTTTGAATTCTATTCTGGATTTGACAGGGAGCCAATGGAGAGAAGCTAAAACTGGAGAGATGTGATCTCTCCCAGTAACTCCAGTTAAGACTCTGGCAGCAGCATTTTGGATCAACTGAAGACGTTTTAAAGAAGTATTTGGACACCCAGATAATAAACCATTGCAATAGTCCAGTCTAGACGTGACAAATGCATGGACCAGTTTTTCTGCATCATCTTTAGATCAGATGTTTCTAATGTTAGTGATATTACGCAGGTGGAAGAAGGAGGTTCTAGTAACGTTTTTAATGTGGGGGATAAAAGACATGTCCTGATCAAAAATAACACTCTTCAAACAGATTATTTCTTTGCAGATGTTCACGTAACTGACCTGCAACTATTTTCTCTAGAATTTTTTAGATGAAAGTTAGATTAGATATAGATCTATAGTTGGCTAGGATTCCTGAGTCGAGATTGTTTCTTAAGTAAAGGTTTAATTACAGCAATCTTAAAGCTCTGTGGTTTTTACCATAACTGTTTATTAGAGACAAATTAAGCAGATCCAAGACGTGGCAATTAATTAGGGGAAATACCTCTTTAAACAGTCTGGTTGGGATGGGATCTAGCAGGCATGTGGATGGTTTGGATGAAGCTATTATTTTTGACAATTCAGAGCTCAACAGGACAAAAACATTCCAAACATAAATCAGGTTTGTGTGACATTTTTAAAGTTATCTCATCTGACAGGGAACCAGAGGCGATAGTAGGAAGGATGGTTTAAATTTTCTCTCTAACTGAAATTTTATTTATAAAGAATCTTATGAAGTCATCACTACTTATATTTGTAGGGATACATGTTTCAACAGTCTCATTAACATTTACACTCCAGTAAGAGCACTCCGGTCTACCAACCAGTTCCTCTTAGATGTCCCCAGATCCAAACTGAAATCCAGAGGTGATCGGGCTTTTGCGGTTGCTGCTCCAAAACTGTGGAACAGTTTACCTGAGAATTTAAAGACCGCTCAGACTGTTGAGACTTTTAAATCTTTGCTCAAGACTCATCTGTATTCCTTGGCATTTCATCCACGCAGAGTCTGATAACAAGTTGAGCTGATTTTATTGTTGTTATGTGTTGTTTTTATTGTCATCTTATGTTTTTGAGTGGCACTAGATGCATTTTTACTCTTTTTTTTTTATTTTAATCTGTCCTAACTGTAAAGCACTTTGGTCAGCTTTTGTTGTTTTTATGTGCTATATAAATAAATTGACATTGACATGTTTCAACAGAGATAAAATTTCTCATTAGACTAGTTATGGTACTGAAAAGGAACCTGGGGTTATTTTTATTCTCATCAATTTAAGATGAATAATATAAAGTTCTAGCTTTACGGAGAGCTTTTTTTGTACGTTAGCAGGTTAACTCTAGGCTAAGTAACATTCCTCAACATTAGTGGAGCGCCATTTTTCCCCCAGCTTTCTAGATGTCTGCTTTAAAGAACGTAACTCAGAACTGAACCAAGGAGCCAGCTTCCTCGTTTTCAGCGGAGCAGCTTTTGTTGTTTTGCAAAGTAGTTGTAAAATTATCAACTAGATGATCTAAGTCACTGTTCTCTGATGCATTACTCTGCAAGACAGAGGAAAACATTGATGGAAGAGATTGTTTCAATTTGGTTACAGCATTTTTTTTTTGGCTATTTTTTTTCCCAACTTTCATACTGTGTCCCGTAGGACACAGTGCGAGATCTTTTTTTTTTTTTTTTTTTTTATACCTCCCCTTCCCCTCGTGTTTCTTTTTCCTTATCTGAAAATAAGGCTGCGCCTCCTGAGGCCGGTGGCCTCCGTCTACCCATGTCAGTTGTTGTTTATGTTGTTTTCTTGGACGGGCTGTACTGAAAATGAAACTTCGTTGTGCTTCAGCGCAATGACAGTAAAGCTGATTCTTCTTCTGATAAGCACCTGCTAAGATGAAATGTACTCTCATTCACTGTGCAGTCATTTAATGTGAACTCAAAGGCAACTATAGAACCGTCTGACAGAACTTAATCTCCATGCCATAAGTCAGAACCACGTCAAGAGTGTGATGATGAGAATGAGTAGATGTTTGGACGTTCTGGGTAAAACCAATTGACTTAAATTTTTAAAGGCTATGCATACGCCATCACTTTCTACATTTACACGAATATTGAAATCGAAAGTTACGTATGTAACTACAGTTCTATTTCATCCCTCCTGACCGCCAGAGGGCGGTGCTGAAAGCACTAAATGTTCCCTTCGCGCATGCACTGTTCGAGTAATAATACCAACGGAGTCACAGGTGTGACACGGATGACCAATCAGAGGCTATATAGCCCGATGTCATCCGCTGCTCTGCTCCTACAGAATCTTCTCGCGGAACGCAAGGATTCTGAGTGACAGAGAATCTCTGGCGGTCATCCGGGATTCATAGAACCGTAGTTACATACGTAACTTTCATTCTATTTCATCCCTCCTGACCGCCAGAGGACAGTGCTGAAAGCACTGAATGACTAATACCAACAATGTCACAAGGAATCCTAAACACCCACCTCACTGAGGAGGGCCAGAGGACCCTTTTAGAAGAACCTGGCCCAGGGGATGAGGGGTGGCCACGTTAACTCTATAAAATCTGGTGAACGTGCTTGGGGAAGCCCATGATGCAGCAGCACATATTGCTTCCAGCGGAACCCCTCTCAGGGCAGCCCAGGAAGCGGAGACGCTCCTGGTAGAGTGAGCCTTCAAGCCGACCGGCAGGGAGCCGGGCCCTGCAGCATAGGCGTGGCAGATGACGTCCACAATCCAGTGGGAGAGGCGCTGTTTGGAAAGAGGACAGCCTAACCTAGGGCCTCCATAACACACAAACAGCTGGTCTGAATGTCTCATCACGGCAGTAGCTGCAACGTATGCCTCCAGTGCCCTCACCGGGCACAATAATCCAGACCCCTCACCAGGCGTAGGCTGAAAACGTGCCAGCCTCAACGGTTGATTACAGTGAGAGTGAGATAACGCCTTTGGTACAAATGCAGTGTTTGGCCACAAGGTAACACACGAGCCCTCAGGGCCCCACCTGAGACATGAGGGGCTGACTGAGAGAGCATGTAGCTCGCTGACCCTCTTTGCTGAGGCAATAGCCAACAAAAAAGCCGTCTTGCATGAAAGCCACTTGAGGTCCGCCTGCGTCAGAGGCTCGAAAGGAGGATGGCACAGAGCTTCGAGAACAAAGGGCAGGTCCCAACCTGGTGCTCGTGGAGCTGTCGGCGGGTGTGACCAAGTAGAGACTGGAGAAACTCCAGAATGGTGGGTACTGTACAGGAGACTGGATCCTTGTTGTGATCAGAACACCATTGGGAAAACAGGCGCCACCTGTTTTCGTACTGCTGACAAGTAGAAGGCGCCCTGGCGCCCAGGATGGTGCGTCTGACGGGGCTCGAAACTCCAGTCAGCTGCTGTCCTAGCCTTGCAGTGGTCACACCCACAGCCGAAGATGTTGAGGATTGGGGTGCCATATCAGTCTTCCCAACTGAGACAGCAAGTCCCTTCTGGTCGGAAGACACCATGGGACGCCCTGACATAGACTTTGTAGCAGTGGGAACCATGGTCGCGCTGGCCAATACGGAACCACCACCAGCATCCTGTGGCCCTCCTCGAGGACTCTCTGAAGGGTTGGCCAAATTAGAGAAAGGGGTGGAAAGGCATATAGAAGGACCATTGGCCAAGGATGAGCCAATGCGTCCTGGCCCAGCGCACCCGACGCCCCCGTAAGAGAGTACCATAGGGGACACTGAGTCGACTCTTCTGTCGCAAACAGGTCCATCTCTGCCTGACCAAAACGGTCCCAGATCATCAGCACTATGTCGCTGTGGAGGGACCACTCTCCCGGAGGGGACTCTTGGTGGGAGAGAAAATCTGCGACCTGATTGTGTCGCCCTGGTAAGTACGCTGCCCGCAGGGTGGACAGGCGAGGAGAGGCCCATTCCAAGAGCTCTCTGGACACTCTCAGAAGTTGTGCTGACCTGGTGCCCCCCTGATGGTTGATGTGGTAGACAACAGAGGTGTTGTCTGACCGAACAAGAACATGCCTCCCTTCCAGGTGAGGCAGGAAGTGCCTGAGTGCCAAGTGCACTGCACGCAGCTCCAGCACATTTATATGCTTGGAGTGGTCCCTTTGACCCCAGCGGCCCTGAACCGTTCTGCGTTGCCACACAGCCCCCCATCCCATGGAGCTGGCATCTGTCGTGACCACTTTCATGCAACACACTACCACTCCCATGGGGACACCCCTGGACAAATAATCTTCGTCCCTCCATGGAGTCAAGGCATGAAGACATGACCACGTCACTGCGAGCTTGCGATGCCTGTGCAGCCTGGCATCCAGGCGAAAGCTGTTGAGCCACCTCTGCAAGGGGCGAAGTGACAGCAGGCCCAAGGGCACCACCCGAGTGACTGATGTCAGCTTGCCGAGTAGTTGCAGGAAGGCAACATAGGGGAGGTGCCTGCCCAGCCTGAACCGATTGACCAGCTGGAGTATGCCGGCCACCATTTGAGCGGATGGGCGAGCTCTCATGGAAGATGAATCCAGAACCACCTAAAGAAAGGTGGTTGTCTGGGAAGGGATCAGGCAGCTCTTCTCCAGGTTGACATTGAGGCCCAACTGGGACATATGAGCGAGCAGGCGGTTTGTGTCGTGAAAGGCACAGGCCTGAGACGGGGCGCAGAGAAGCCAATCGTCTAAGTACAGCAGAATCTTCACTCCGCAGGCCTGCAGAGGAGAGAGGGTTGCCTTCACGCACCGAGTGAACACCCTTGGGGAGAGAGAGAGCCCGAATGGGAGTACCCGGAACTGCCAGTGGTGACCCCGATAGGCAAACCTGAGAAAGCGGCGATGTTCTGCCGCAATAGGCACATGAAAATATGCATCCTTCAGGTCTACAGACGTGAACCATTCTTCCCTCATGACAGATTGAAGGACTTCTGCTGTCGTGAGCATGTGGAAGGGCAGCTCCCTTAGGTACTGGTTGAATCCCCTCAGGTTTAAAATGGGGCAAAACCCGCCCGTCCTCTTTTGCACGAGGAAGTAAGTCGAGTAATAGCCCCTGGGTTGTTGCAGAGGGTCCACTGCCTCTATTGCGCCCTTGGCCAGGAGGGCGGAAAGTTCCAGTGCTCAAGCTTTCACCGGGTCTGCAATTACAGTCATCTTGACCCGGCATGAGATATGAGGCCGCTGTCAGAACTGTAGTCGGTAACCATGGGTCAGAGTGGCAACCACCCATGGGTCCACGGCGTGAGCAGCCCAATAGCTGAGCTGCTGGTGGGAGAAATATCCGACGGTCGGCCTGATGGCATCACCGTCTCCCTCCATGGTCATAAAGCCCCTAGGGGCCGTGGGGGGCGGCAGCCAGAGTCCCTGGTCCGAGCCTGCCCAGCTGGTCGGTGGACCGACCCACAAAAGCTACTGCTGGGCCTTTGCTGAACCGCATGAGTGTAAGGATAACCCGGGCGGTTATGACCCCCAGGCGGCGGCTGCATGCTGGAGTCAGCCGACGGGCACCTTGGATGCCGAGGAGGTGGAGGGGGCATTGCCCTGCTAAGGCTTGAAAATTGCTGCCTTCTCCGTCATGCCTGGACAGTCCGTTCCAGTGCTTCCAAGGCAGCCGACCCGAACAACTCCCCCAGCACCACTGGGACATTACGGAGGGTTCTACGGCATGGCTCAGTCAATGCTGACTGCGCCAACCAGACCTGTCGGCGAGCCTGGACCAAGGAGGACATCACGCGCCCAAGCTCCCTCGTCATTAGTGCAAAGGCCTGAAGCGCTGCATCGTTAAAGCCCATTGCTGCTGTTGCACCACTAGTCCCCTGAAGGGACGCGGAGAGGGCAAGCATGAGGTGTGCCAAGGAATTACCTAAGCGGCCAGCACATGGAACTCAGCTGGCTACATAATAAGCAAACTTCGGAGCACAGTCCAACCGACCACGCGGTTGGAGGTCTCCCAACAAGCGGGAGCGGAGTGAACGCTACCGCTAACCAACGGCGAAATATAAGGAAAAACACTACTCACCGGTGTTGAATCACACACATAGTAGTCAGACGCTGTAAGTTGGGAGAGGCGGAAACCGCTGTAGTCCCCAACGAAACAGCAGAAATACCTTTGAACAGGGTTAAACCGTTGCAGCCCTAAGAGGGCGAATAAGCTACTCCCGCAGACGGGCAGTCGAGCTTCCGACGACGGTAAAAAGTTCAGAAAAGGTCCAAAGGGCTGAAGCCCTGAATTGAACCGCGCGCGAGAAGAAAAAAAGGAGCAGAGCAGCGGATGACGTTGGGCTATATAGCCTCTGATTGGTCATCCATGTCACACCTGTGACTCTGTTGGTATTATTACTCGAACAGCGCATGCGCAAAGGGAACATTCAGTGCTTTCAGCACCGCCCTCTGGCGGTCAGGAGGGATGAAATAGAACTCCCATTATTATGACTATCAGTATTTAGTAGTAAGTCAGTTGAGAACAGAGTGAGCGCTATGCTTAATAATTCTAATGTAGGTTCTCAGACAGAACAATAGGAACTCTGAGCTTCAACAACATAAATTACTGCTGGACTAACATCAGCTCACTGTCATCAGGACCAGTACCGGTACCAGCTGGGGTTCTACCACTGGAACAATGTCAGATTTAATATTTTGAGGTATTAAATAACAGCTCGAGGACTGGGTTTCAATCTTTTGGAATACAACTGAATTCAGATGGGGTCTCACAGTAGGACTAGACTGTGATGCTTCTGTTGGGTTAGAACTTGATTTAGACTGGTTCTGTTGGATTAGAACTGGACCTTGGTCCATTGGTTGTGATGATGAAGAGGAGCAGTGACTCACCGTCCAGAGAGAGCCAGTCCAGCTGAGAGCTGGGCAGGGAGCTGGCGTTCCTCGCTCTGTACTCGAACAGAACAGACGAGGAAACAGAACCTCTGGACTCCAGAACCTGCAGACACACCAGGCCAGCCTGGTGGGCTGAAACAGAGACAGTCCATGGGTCAGTTTTGCTGGTTCTGGACACGTCCTTCTACAGAGACTGATCACACATCAGAGACAGTGAGGGGTGTCTGCCCAGAGGCCCTTCAACATATGGCTGCTGCGGGAATTGAATCCCCACCTCTCCTACTGGAGGAGAACCGCTCTAACCACTCAGCCACAGTGGACCCAACCACAGGTTCGATGTGAACCTGTGGTTGGGTCGGAACCAACACAGCTGAACCCATTACAAAAACTCAGAGATGTTCTCCTGCAGAAAACTGCAGGGACGAGGTTCCATCAGCAACAACAGAACATTACCGTAGAAGAAGCCCACAGAACCCTCCTCTAAACCTACAAGACGGGCTCTACAAAGACCAGAGCAGACCTGGCTCTACACAGACCTGGTTCTAGAGGGAGCTGGGTTCTGATGGGCCATTAGCGGTGAAGCGGGTCGGTACCTGGGCAGTAGCAGCGCAGAACTCCGGGTTGGATCAATGATGCAGGGACGGTGCTCTGGTCGAAGACACACGAGTAGTGACCCGATGGCTCGCTCCATGGCCCGGTGATCAGAACCTTCACACCCCCCTGCAGAGGAGAGGTTAGACACTCAGAACGGCTCCCTGCAGCTGGTTCTGATCCGAACTGACCTGTTACCTCTGGGTAGGACCACTCCGGAGAGAAGTCTGTGATGGAGGCAAGGCGCATGGAGGAGGTCAGTGGATGAGGGAAGGGGAGAAAAGAGGAGGACGGGGAGGGCTGTGGAGGAACCACGTATCGGACTCCTGTAGGGAGCATGGCTGGTCTTGGTGTGGAGCTGGCAGGGGGCGGAGCTATGGCTGGACTGGACTCTTCAGTGATGAGGTCAGAGATCAGATCAGGAAACTGGCTGTCGAAGGAGATGTCAAGCTCCTCCCCTCCTTGCTCCCCAAGCCCCGCCTCCTCCTCTGAGGGCGTGTCCATGTAGATGTATTCTGAGTTGACGCCCCGCCCTCTTTCTTCATTCACTTGGACTGAGAGCAGTTCTTGAGAAGTGGTAACCATGGCAACATCTGTG